AAAAAGGCATCTCACTGGATCTTACGGGTCGTGTGTACCAGGCTACAGTAAGGGCTGTGTTGTTGTATGGGTGAGAGACAGCCTCTGAGGGCATATGATGTAAGGCGTCTTCAGGTTTTCAACCACCGATGCCTCAGAAGCGTGGCTGGTTTTGGATGGCGTCAGCGTGTTAGTAACGAAGTGGTTAGGAAACGGGTATTTGATTGTGCTGCAGACACCTCAATCCGGGAAAACATCCAGCATCATCGACTACGATGGCTCGGTAATGTGCCACGCTTGCCGAAATACAGTCTACCGAGACGAGTGTTGTTCTCCGTGCTTCCTTCAGGATGGCGCAAACCGCTACGTGGGCAGCACATAACTTGACAGAAAGGCATCAAAGAGATGACGAAGAGTTTGGGTGTTGTTGGTGTTGTACGCCTCCCAGGATGGGGTCCCCGTGACCCCGTCTGTGCTTGGCTGGAGACGTTGCAAGAAATGGCTGCTAATCAATGTCAGTGGCGTTCTTGCTGTCAGTTTCTTTCCAGATTGCCTGGAACTATATAACTAGACAAACCTTATGGTTGTACGGCAGTGAAGCATCAGTGCCAACACTGATGTTGCTGTCTTTGATGATGATGATGGTGATGATGATGGAGACGCTAAAAGATATGGCTGCCAACCGATGTCAGTGGCGTTGTCAGTTGTTGTCAGTTTCTATCCAGATTGCCTGAGTGAATGTCTGTAGGTGTAGGCACCTCGGAATGATTGTATTAAACTATAACTCCATTCTCCGTCCACCTTTATTCTTTTCTTTACAATAAGGCTTTCAAATAAATCATGGCTGTGTAGCAATGAAGCGTCGGCGTTGAACACTGATGTCATGCTGTCAATGATGGTGATGGTAATGTCCGTCAAGGGATCAGACTTTTATGCTCATGACAAGGATTGTGCTTGGCCTAAGCATTTTTACAGTGGTTCTGGGTATGTTAGTGTCTTTCTCATACTCTATCGTGTCTTCAAATAATGCCCAGCAAGGAAACGCTCGAATGAACCTGGAGTAAAAGTTTAAATTTTGTGTTTGCTTTCGTGAATGGTTTAATTGAAGTCGCTGTCGCGGAACAAAATCGTGTCATAGGCGAAGACGTGTCGCAAAATCAATCAGGGAACCGCCGATGGTTATCATTCGGACAATGCAATTAATGTCCATTGTTTGATATATTCACATCCTTTTTTTAATAATAAGCATGGTTCAAGGGGTTTCTAAAGTTTGTGCACCGAATAAGTGATACAGTGCCCGTGAATGAATGCGTGCTGCTACCCTCGTGGTGTAGGTTGGGGAGAACCATCGAAACAAAACGGAATTTCCTTTGGTTACAGTGGACTACGACGGAGGGGAGAACCCATGATCGGATATCTTATGTAAGGATAAAGCTCAAGTTAGCTCAGTTGTTAGGATGCGAATTTACTGACCGGAAGTTCCGTGGTTCAAACCTAACCGCGGCATCTCGACTGCTCTTGTCTGGGTTTTGACAACCTGGTAGTATCTCAGACCTTGTGCTTATTTCGGGGCACCGATAGTGTATTACAGCTGAACGGTTCGATTTACCTGTAAGGATACCAAGTGTAGAAAACTCACATAAGACATCGATAGATTTAGGGCACATAAAAACGAGCAATTACATACAGCCAGGTAACCGTTAACTCGAGTCTTAAATGAGTGGATATTGCATGGGACCACGAAAATAGAGAGTTAGAGGTTGTTTTAGAGCCATCTGGATTGGAGAAAAAGTGAAGAGAAGAATAGACCTGGGTGGAAACGTGGAGCTTCACTCTGATACCGATGATTAGAAGTGAATTGGGACAGATGAAAGTTCGGTAGAACATTTGACGTGAAATTGGCGACAAATTAATGGGAAACAGGCTAAGCCTTGACGCTGTTGAAGGGATTAGTAGCCATAAATCCGGATAGAGGGAACAATGAGGCGCACAGTGTTCCGTCAAACTTGGTCCAGGAGTAAACTATAAATGGAAGTCCCACTCCAGACTCGACAACAATATTCCATGGTGGGGGAGGGCGAGTATGAGATTTGTAGGTCGGAGCAACTGGGAGAGGCGAAGAATTACGAGAAACGGGACAATCATCCAGCCTTCAAGGAAGCCCGAGCCGCAGCTTGTTTAACCTACAATCGGACATCGTTCGAAAATGACAACCCCAGAGGCAAACGACTCGGAGTATACGGAATAAGGCCAGAGTCAATGGATAGGATGTGATTGGAGGTGAGAATGGAGAGATTCATAACTAAGGATTTGGAAGGTGCAAATGTAATGGAGTATGATAAACCTCAATTGTGAATGGTAACTAGATCGGCGTTCAGTGTGTTGGTGGTGTGCACGCTGTGGACACGTAACTAAAGTGAGACAGATCGCTGAAGGCTATAAATATCGTTCAGCTGTAGCACCCTTTCGGTGCCTAGTTGCCATGCTACCTGAAGGAAGCACAAGGGCTGGGATACTGCCAGGTTGCCCAAGCCTAGACAGGGAAGTTGAGAGGCAGATTTCGGGTTCGAACCACGGATCTCTCGGTCAGTAAATTCGCGCTCTAACTACTGAGCGATCTCGCCCCCAGTTTGGTTGGGAACTTGCCAACTAACCATTCGTTTGAAGTCCACCCTGGAGGTTTAGTTGCTCGGGTCCACAAAGTCCAAGTTCCAGAGGTTCCGCATTATCTTCCACCGAATTCTCCAAGTCCGTTAATGAGAAGTGCATTTGTTGGAAGCAGCACAGTGGTGAATGTCCGGATGAAAAGGTATAACATTTATGAGTGACAGAAAAGGGATGGGAGACACCGCAGCCTTGGGAAAGAGCGCCCTCTGGGCGAACTTGTAGGTACCTATTGGTTAAGGACTTTTAACTCCACCTTTTTTAATCCATCGCCAAAAGAGGTCGTACATAGGTGGTCGGGCGTGAAGGCCTCCATACCGCACTCGGCTGAAAGCTTTTGAAACGTCCAGGGGTTATCTGTGACCAGTATTCTATGCGCCCTTCTTGCGCGGGGATAAAGTTCGCCACTTTCTGTTTAGAGAGAGGATTGCTGAATTAGTAACAACGCAGTATTTTGCTCGGATAGTAGGATAGCTTGGCCTTCCGTGATGGAGTGGAACTGTCTTTGCACAACACCTGCTGATAAAGCAAAGCATCCCAGAAGCAGCGTTGCCTTCTTTCGGGAATGTCGTAACTCGGGGAACCGATCAGTGCTGGATCACATTAGTTGAGCTGTTGGTTGAAGAGTGGGTGGCGCTGTATGCGATGCCACTGCCAGTGAACCACCCATAGTTAAATGATGCTGTCCAAACTTATATAGGGAATTTTCCGGACTTGAATCTTTGGATATCCATGAAATTTTCCTCGCTGACACTTCACAGTACGAGTGAAACGCCGACACACTTTTCTGCTTTCCACTACTGATTAATTTCACTCACAGGGAAAATTGTGTCAGTCGGTGTTTCCCTCCACTTTTTTGTTTGCCGTCTGTACCAAGTTTGATATAAACACTGTATAATCTATTTGTGAATTTATCTTCTCGCAGATCCAGAGCCAACTGACGATCTGGAATGCTCGCAGCGCTTTACTCCTACTTCCAGACTAAATTCCAATTGCTTCCACACATTTTTGTACTCCTGTCCTGTTGAATTCTTAATCGGATCGTACAATGAGTACGAATGGTATTTATGCATTGCTCTCCGAGTTTGGGATCCAAACGACCAATGGCTGGGATGCTTCGAATGGGTCTAAACTGCACATGCGTAACGAGTTGATAGGTTTGTTTTTGGTTCCGGTGAAGTGCTCATAGTCGGCTTGCAGCCCTGCTTGAACTGTCTGATACGGTTGATTTGGATGCTGGTCCAGCTGATGGATTCAATGTCCTTTTGGCATCCCTTGTCGTTGAGCGGCTTCTCCAATTCCGCGAGCTGGTTACCAGTTACGACGCTTGTCTGTCGCAAAAATCTACATCACCGCGCCGCCGACATCTTTTACTTCAAATCCACAAATGCGCAGTGCGTTCCATCACGTTACTGGCCAAACTCATTATGGCTGTTTCCTCTTCAAACTTGTCCCGTGACAAGATCAAATCACAGTTGGATATCATCTTGGTGAGTTCGATGAAACATATTAATCTATTTTCCATTCTTTTATCCGTTGATACATAAAGCTCTTCAGAAACTGAACCACCGTCTACATTTTATCAAAGAACTGGAAGCTGTGTGGCGGAGACCAAGGTTGGCCACTTGATAGTTCCAAAGCGCGGAGAAAACTACTTAGCACTAGCTATTTGGCTGGGCGTTTAATCACTTCTTGATGGATACGATTTACTGGATATGTTTATAATGGTATGCTTCATGCTGTTCTACCACCAATCTAGCTCTTTTCAAGCTCGTATCCATAATTTTAAAGTAGATCAAAAACTTCAGATCTACACACGCAAACAAGTCAGCAAGTTATGTATAAACAGGGAATATTGTAACTTCACTGTCTCGTAGAACCTAATAGGCAACGGTCGCGACCTTACGGTGGGTTGGGCTCGTATTTTACCTAAATTGTCATGTATGTGACATTTGGGCGGAGTGAGCAACAGCTGATACAGACACCCCACCGTGTTTTATATAGGGATTTCGGAAAAGAACTGCCGAGCAGAGGGTGAGAAATATAAGACTCTATTCGAGGGGAACGTGGATTCCACTTTGATTCGCTTAGTCAGCTGTCAGAAACCAAACTATGCTGCTGAAACAGCCTTACTCGACAATGAGTTCCCTGATACGTTGAAATGATGGTCGAACTGCAATGTTGGCTAGTGTGACTGGAGTTTTTTCTTGAACATGTAACCATGCCAGGAAGGCATTAGGAGCAGCCATACAAGGTGCATTGAGCACTGAGCTGTGAGCAATCGTATTATCGGCTAGTTTATGAGTAAAGTTATATTGTTCTTTGAGGCGATATTGCAAAGGTCGTGAGGTGTTTACTCTAGGCATCCAGCGTTTGAAAATGTTGTATCCCTTCTTGGAGAAAGGACTTTTTGGGTCCGTCCGGAAAATATCATATTCCAATTGCAAGACAGTGGATCGTAACAACCGATAAAGTATCTAATTCGATCGAAGAAAACGTCGAAGACCCAAACGAACCTGCTGTGCATCGCATCATGAGTCCTCAGATTAGGTCAGTCCTCCACAGCCAAGTTAGTTGTTAAATCACCAGCTCCGGGCAGGGTTCCCCAAAGAAATCCCAAGAACTGCTGTCTCGTCGTCAAAATTAGAAGCTAGAGGCTAGGGACAAGGCCCAGAGCGAAACACTCCTTCCTCCCACTGCCCTGTGGGTCAAACTTCTAAGCCACCTGCTCAAAGTGGAGTAGCACAAACTAACCTTTCCGAACCTGGGAAGTTGAAATTATCAGCCGTCAGCTCTTTGCTCACCGAGATGACGAGATGGCCCAAGTGGTTAGGGCGCGAATTTACTGACCGGAAGGTCTGTGGTTCAAACCCAACCTCTGCCTCTCGACTTCCCCTGTCTAGGCTTGGGCAACCTGGCAGTATCCCAGCGCTCGTGCAACGCTCGAGTGGCATGGCAGTCAGACACCGAAAAGGTGCTACAACTGAACGATTTTTTAAATTTATTTTAATACTTGTCTGTCTTCAACTACCACAATCAAAATGTTCCCAGGACATCTGCTTATAGGTGCTGAATGCGCTACCGCTATGGCCTTGAATAGATAGGATCCGAAGGAGTTGCGTCTGGCATTGGGTAGCTTAAATAACTCAGCTGAAAGATTTGACATGCGCTTCCCACCCACCGAATGCTGTTTGCTGCTGCAAGACTGAGTGGAACAAAGTCCAAATTTTGTGTTTGTAGATGAGTTAATTGCTGAAGACTTTAACTAGAAGCATCATTCTCGAGAGCCGGTTAAAGATTAGATCATTCTTCGAATGGAAACTTCGAAGGTAGCTTCTTCAACCCACCACATCTATGGCTTCGACGCGACATCATCAAAATTGGGACCTATGACGCAGTGGTATGTCCCATATCGTAATACTTCTGGCAAACTTTAGGAAGCTCTAGGTGTTTAAGCACTGATGGCTCCGACGCATATTTCGAATATTGTGGTCAGCTCGGATCAAGGTGGTTTTTGGAGGAAAGAACTCCCCTGATAGGTGAGCTAATTTTACCTCATATGTTTGGGTGGCATGGCCACGTTCCTCAAACGCCAGTAAACCGGTTTTCCTTAATAGCCCTTTCCGCTCAGCCTCATGCTGAGAAGCTTTCTGGGGCTGTAAGCTAATAAGTTGATAAAGAGAAAAAGAAACACGAGGAGCATAGGCAACCTGGTCGATCTGGGTTAGCTACACCAACAGCTACGTCGTCAATGGTTTTCAGGTACACAAGCCCTTTCCTCCGGTGCGTAGCCTCACACTCAACAAAAAGTTCCCGTAACACTTGCAATCATTATTCGACTCACAATATCATCTCTATCGCACCCTTATTAATTGGTTAGTGGATGGGATTTCGGCTACTACTGTCAGCATACAACCCATGTGATTTTGAGCTAATAACGTTGATGATGGTGGTCCTCCTAGAGGTAGACAATAGTTGAAAGAAGCGTGAAATGACCCCAGTGGTGTCCACCTCTTGTGGTCCGGTGATTCAACATTATGCCGGCTATAAGACATTGCATTGTCTACCGTTTTGCAATTGTTGTAGTTGTGGTCGGTTCACTTTTGGCTCTACTTTCATCCGCTTTAGATTTGTAGTAAGGCTCCGGTATTCTTGTGTGGGAACGCGCTACAGCTGTCCAGCTGTGGGACTCATTTGTCTCATAGCTGCCGTAGAACTCGAAGGAATCACCAAGGCCGAGGTACTGCCATGTTTTCCATATCTAGACAAGAGCAAGCGCTAGGTTCGGGCCACAGATCTTTTCCGGAGGAGACAGTTGTAAGCATAGGAAATTTACATTCTAGAAATTTGACGGAAATTACAAAGCACGGTTGGTTGGTCGTTGGAAAACACCAATATGCGTTTTATTCTGATTGGGACCCATTGGGTTGATGTTGAAAAAATCGATCACCTGATCAGGTTCAAAATCCACAAGCTTAACCTCGACCCTGCGCGGTCGCTAACCTCACTTACCTGTATGATGTGCACGATGCAATCAGCTTAATTAGTTTAGTCCCTGCGGTGGAACTTCTTGGATACTCATCGACATGTTTACGGTTAGTCAGGTTCCTAACGCACTGAACAATTGGGTTAAACACGCTGAGCCTAACGAGGCCAAAAGGCGGATCGAATTACCCCCTCCAACCAAATGAATACTCTTGGGAACGAGCTGTCTTAGGTTTACATGGTGTGTTTGCGCTCCTGAGGAGGGAGATTGTATCACTTGAGTTGGCCACTTTGAAAAGTTGATATTGCGTCAGTCTTTTCAAGGCGAAAAAGCCTCATTGATAGTCAGCTCCATCAGTTTCGTTACAAAGACGGTAAGTTAGTCAAACAGTTCACCTGATAGAATTGTTGAACTGCTCAGCTTCAGTGATCCTAGTGTCGTTTGCACTCTATGGCCAGAGATGTTTGCCCTAATGGATCGATAAAATAGCCATTTTTCATCACGTTCGTTTATGATTTCGTGGTTTTAGAGGGCGCCAATTCGAGTTGGTCCCACAGTGAGGTGTTAGTGGCGGGGGGGGGGAGAAGGCTCGGTGGTTAAAGCGCAGATTTACTGGCCAGAAGGTCCGTGGTCCGAACTTGACTTCTGCATCTCGATTTTCCCTGTCTAGGCTTGGGCAACCTGGTAGTGTCCCAGCCCTCGTGCTTCCTTCGGGCGGCATGGCAGCTAGGCACTACAAACAGTGGAACGCCATCAAGACAGATCACGATGATAAAATAGGCCGACGTTCCAAAGACGCGTTTATTTGACCCATGTGCCTTAAGCAGCCATGTATGGGTAAGTTATAGGCGCTAGGCTTTGAATATTGAGGAAATGACTGTGTTACCTAAACAACGCAGCCCCAAACACAAACATACCACTGGAAATCAAACCGGTGTCATTTTCTTCGATAGTCAGCATTTAACTCCACCGCACCCATAGGCTTCCTAAACCAATCCACTTTGACATAAGCCTGCGTAAAGCAGGATTTTCTGGTGGGATGCTCTTACCCTACTTTGAGCGAACAATACTTACATGGCAGTATATTGTCCTCCCCAACTGTTTCTTTTCCAGCCGTTGTCTACTGCACAGGGTGTCGTCCTTTATACACAATAAATGGTGTTTCGGACTCACGCTTCAGCAACTAATGCTTCGGTTTTCATTGCATGGGAGGGCTATGTATGGACACATGAGATACGTGACATGTGAAACACTTCACCCTCTGTTGTAACTAATTACAGTCCCCACTCTAGTACCTTAGCGTGGCAAAAAGACTCACCAACAAGCAAGAAAGTTTTATTGCGAACAAGCGAATGCGAAAATTACAAGGAGCATGGCGGTATTTAAAGCGCACTTTTGACCTTTAATTCACGCTGTCCGATCGGCGTTGGGTGATTGGTTGGCGTTGCTTGTGACGCCCGAATACTCGAGCATTGTCGGCCCTTCCTGTCTGACTGCTTCAGCGTCCAATCGGCAGTTGGCTTTTCTGGCCCGGCTGCTTGACGGCTTCCTTACTGTGATTTTGATGGAGTTTCAGGGTCGCAGCAAGTTCCGGGCATTCTAGTGTTGTTTTCGGGAATCTGACCTTGCTGACGACCTCATTATATAACTATTAAACGATCTAGCTATAGGCAACGACTGCAATTAAAAACGGGTTATGATTTTCGTCAGGGGACAGATGATTGTCTTGTTACGTCTAGCTCTTTTAAGCCAGTTTCAGCAGACGAGATTTTTCACTGAACTGGCCCAGGCGGGCTGATTGATAGGTGACCCACGAAGTGTTTATGGCTAGTTTGTCACGTAAAGAACCTGATTTATTACATATGTGTATATGTATTTTAGGTCTCCCCTCATCTGTGCAAACATGAGCTCGAAATAGGTCAGTGGTTAAGGCTGGAGATTATTGACCACAAGGTTCGTGGTTCGGACACAACCTCTGCGTTTCGACTACTCTTGACTAGGCTTGCGGAACATGGTAGTATTTCAACTCTCGCGCTTCCTTCGGGTGAGATGGCAGCCAGGCACCGTTTTAGGTCTCCCCTCATCTGTGCAAACATGAGCTCGAAATAGGTCAGTGGTTAAGGCTGGAGATTATTGACCACAAGGTTCGTGGTTCGGACACAACCTCTGCGTTTCGACTACTCTTGACTAGGCTTGCGGAACATGGTAGTATTTCAACTCTCGCGCTTCCTTCGGGTGAGATGGCAGCCATGCACCAAAAGAGTGTTGGAGCTGAACGACTGTCATTATTTTTGCTGTCATAATCTTCCTCCATGAATGTTGTGGCATCCGGCCGTGGAGGTATAAGTAACGAAAGTTGAACGGCTTTCTGGAGTGTTTTAGTCAATGGGGCTGGTTGCCAAAACCAACACGGCTGTCTAGTCAAGTTGGTCCAGCCAGACGTTTCATGCGCATTCCTTCCGGTCTCTTTTGAGTAAACATCGCACTAAAGCACCGATTGAGATGAAATGACTGCGTCTGGTTGCACAATCTTGTGAAAAGTACTAACGGGTAGTCAAAACTAACACGGTTAACAAAAATGAGCGCAACGTGTAATTAGGGTGTGCACTGATGCTACATCATACGTCTCACAAATGACGGCTAAATATTCACTGTTATGCGCAAGGAATGGTTAAGTGCTTTTATATATGAAAAAAAGTGCAACAGCCCAAAAACAGCTGTTTTTATTCGTTTGTGCAATACATCACTGGGGAATATGACTAGTTAACATATGGGGTTCGGTCGATCGATTGTAATACTCAAATGACTACTGTTGCGAACAAGTCTTCAAAGACCCTGAAAACAATCGTTCCAGACAGACATGCTGAATTTTAAAACACGACACCGACCTCCTTTAGTTTTATGAAGCAAGAATGTAACTGGTGGTGTGTAGATAAGTTTAACCCAGCTCATTTCACTGACGAGACAAAACCTTATTCTATGCTCTGCATAACTTAAATTCAATGGCCACTGGAGGGTGCTGGTCGCTCCAGAGAGAGGACGCTGTAGACTGTTTACTGTATTTCCGTTAATTCACAAAAGAAATCAATACCTTCAGCCTCATTCATCACCGCTCGGCAGTTTTTTACTCCCTGGGATAACGAATTAGGACAATCGGAAATCCACCGACAGTAGATAACCGATCTGCAATGCACATTACATTTCTCACGGTTTTAGAACTTCAGTCACCGTCAGCAGGTTGTAGCGAACCCAGGACTACTTTAACAGCAGGCAAACTCACCATCCTTTAGGTTACGCATGTACCTATCTAGCAAGGGAAAGCGTATTTCCTGCTCTAACCGTTATTGATTTAGTTGGTTTTTTTTAACGGAAATCGTTTTCCGTTCTTATCCATCCGAGCCAGACCCACACACGCATCGCATCGCTTACACCGCTCACCGCTTTACTTTTTGCAAAGTGGTTGGACTCATATTTTTTATATTTCAGCGGGTAACGTCGATGCATCCGCATAAATGGACAGATTACCTGAACAAACTACAGGGATATTGTACTTCACTCTGCCAAGAGGTGGTGTCCAATTCTCATCCCATCAGTGCATCAGTAAGCCGTACGGATTCCATGGTAAATGTACCACTCAGACAGGTAACACAGAAGGCACCAACGATGCAGTGATTCATGACGATCCTTACAACGCGTAAGTCCTGACTAAGTTTCTAGTCCCCCCTCTGCACATTAGTGTAATTCCGTACAGCGAGTTACAGCAACTGGTTTTTGCGCAACTTGACCAAGCGGAACCAGACAAAACCGGCGCTGACACATCCGTTTCTTCAAAATGGCAACGAGCTTATGAAGTTAGTGGAGTTCTGGACATCCTTCGAACTGTTTCTGCCACAGTAAGGGTGAGTGACATAAATTTCTTTTTCGATGGCCAAAGGACAGGGAGGGTTGTGAAATGAATTTGGCCATGAGTTTCATGGACGTATCTTGTTTCGTTTGGCGATAACCTTCAGATTAGGGATAAAGCGACTGTTTTCATCCTTGAAGTAGGCTGAGGCTGTCCATCGACATCTTCGCATAGTACGGAAACACCTGCTAATTTCGGTCGATGTAACTCGTCTTGAAAAATATTGAAAGTGACAGGAATAGAGTTAAATGGAGGAAATTTGGAGGGTCAATAGGACGGGGTGAATATGTGAGCGTCACTAACCTCGTGACTTTGCCGATAAGGATCCTCAACCATCGTTTGGGCGAGTATTTAGGTCCCCATTTGGTAGACGATGTGAACCAACGCAGCTGAAACCTGTTTAGCATGAAATTCTCGATTACAACGAGTTGAGTTTCCATATATTACTTTACTTTCTAGTCACATTAGTGCGCAGGTGGGTAAACCTGACAATGACGAGGGTCTGCTGCGGCTGCACGCTGTTCGTGTTTGGTTTATGTGCTGCAAGTGCTTTCAAACCAATCGGTTCCCTAGTCACATAGTGTCCTCATAAATCTGCCTGTAGCTCAACTGGGCGGGTTCATCATCAGCTACTAATGATATGGATCAATTACCGGAAGAAGTTCATCTTGAAACTAACATTTGAACTCGGGCCTCACCGATACCCCATTTCGCATTTTTCTGCGCTGGATAAAGTGCACCATCCTCGATTGGCCACTGTAAGCTATCAAAGTTATCTTAACTGTGTCGCATGTCAGCTAACGTTGAATATGACTTTGTTTGATACAGTTATTGATATTTGCGCCGCAACCAGACACTTGGCTGCGGACAATACTGGAATCTTGGAGACAATTCCATCCTGGCCCTGAACTCATTGCAAAGCGGCGAGTTCTTAGTCACCAGATGATTACGACTCCTTCCGTGTCCAAAAAGACTGAGGAAATGAAAATCTAACAACGATGGAACTGCTCTAACACTGCTTCGGCTGATACGCACGGTAAGCTTTCAGGGACGTCCGATTAGCGAAAACACCGAAGAAACAATGTTAATCAGGTGGCTGTTGATCTGTTCACCGAGCTTGGCAATTGACTTGCAACGGAGACCAGCGCTTTCAATAGACTGCCACGCCACTTCGGACCGGTGATATCACCTCGATTGATGGCGAAATACCAAGCTCGGCTAATCCTCGCCTCCATAATCTGGGATATCAACATTATTTCTCATAGGTTCTGAACCCTTTTGTGATAACTGCAATTGGTTGAAGAAAAACTGATTTTCCCCTATCCAGCCAGTTTACGATTTGAGCGATTTTTTGGTGCCATCATCCAAGAGACCTTCCAAAATTTTCATCGTATGCTGCATTCCTCTTCATCCTGTGAATTCCATTATATTTCACCTATCCTAGCACCCCACCGTCCAACATACGCTGTCTACTTTTACGGCTCACCCGGTCGGATTTGGTTCCAGTGATCCCCTCTCAGAGTCGCTGCTGTCAGAAGTAAAGGCCCATTTGCTGGAAATGCGTGGGTTGCATTCGCAATGGTCCAACCAATCTGACCCATCGGTGACGCGCACCTTAAGCAACAGGTCCTTAGTGACGAGTAAGTGTACCCCGTTGATCACTTTGGTTCCCGTAACCTTCTGAAGAAGCGCGCGAAGGTTATTCGGGCCAAATTGGCGCGTTTTTTTTACTTTTGCAGGCACTCTGCCACTATTATATCGCCCCACAATACCACAAATCTTTCCATTTTGGATCACAGCATTGAACTGTTTGCATATTAAATTTACTGTATACTTATTTCGAACCGTATTTTCCGCAGGCCAGTTCAAGTTCAGAGGTTGCACGAGTTTCTTTTGGACGCAAAGTTGTGAATCCAGCAGTCGGATTCCAATCGCCTCTGCGATCGATAGTATTCTGGATCGTACCAGTCGTGATCGGTTCAGAGCTACCCGATATATGGTATTGAAGGCTTGCTCTTTGTCGGTGACATGACTAGTTTCGGCCAAATGTGATACAATCGCACTTGAGCCTGGTTTCTTCTTACGACCACTCAGAGATACGGGACTGTGTTCTCGCATTCTATCCGACAAATGCCTTGTCGTACGACCAACTTATGATGCTTGGCACGAGCATACAAATGACTACACTCAAAAGCTGGTGGTAGACTGTGGCAATTTATCCTCCAAGCGGAAACTGATAGTGGGGCTGGAGTTGAATCTCAGACACAGATTAGCAACCACGTACATCGTATCAACAGAGTTTCTAAGCCTTCTGTTAATGAGTTCAGCTACCGAGTCACCTTTGAATGGAAGCCTCATGTAGATGGGCTTCTTCCCAATAAAACTTTGTGTAGGCTTGGGCTTAACGGATTCCATAGGCTTGAGTACGAACCTTGCAGGATATCCGTTCTGCAGGAATGTGCGTCAGAAGAACTTGAGTTCCTCTTCTGAGCAGTTGGGGGAGCATATCTTCATTGCTCTCTCAATCAGGCATCTAATTAGATCGCGCTTTTGTTGCACGGAACGGAGCTGTCTAAGTGAATCTACTGACCTTTCCACGTTTGCTTTCTATGGACTCTGCATTCTATGGTCCCGTCAGTCTTCCTTTTGATATTGACATCGAGGAAACTTAACTGTCCGTTCTGTTCTGATTCGGTAGTAACCTTGATATTGGTATGAACTGAATTGAAACTGCTTGGCACGTCTGTTGTGCTGATAGTTTTGTCGGCAAGTACGAAACTGTCGTCCACGTAGCGACGATACAATTTTAGCCGTGCAATGAGTGCGTCTAATTTCTAGGTCTTCAGTTCGGCTATGAAAATATCTGCCGAAATGGGTCCTAGAGGAGACCCCATCGCGATCCTGTCCTTCTGTCGACAAATTTGATTGTTGGAAGTGAAGTGAACGTTGTAGGTACAAAGGAGCAGGAGTTCCTTAAGGTGCGAGATAGGAATGCAAATATCTTTACCGTTGCACTCAATCAAGTCACAAACATAGTCCGTTGGTAAACAATGACTCGACGTCCAGGGTGAACATGGAGTGTTTATCAACCTTCAGATCTTTAATCCGATCGACGAAGTCAAAACTGTCTCTTAGGCTCTGTGTCGACACCTCTCTCCTGATTGGTTTTAACAGACTGACGTGCCATTTAGCCAAAGCACGATAAGGAGAATAAGACATATCGAGGATGGGCCTGAGAGTTAGGCCGGGTTTGTGCACTTTTGGGAGACCATAAAACCGACCTACCCACCATTCAACCCCCTTCCTTTGACTTTATTTCTCCAAAGTGTATGTACGTACCCCCGATTTTAACCTTTTTCACGTGGTCTCTGGTACCGTATAGATGGAACGACTGTTAATGGCTTCACTTGCCCATACGGAACTCGATGCTACATTTTGCTCGTAAACCTCGACATACGATTTCTTCGGTAGCGTACGACGTTATAGAAACAGTTTGCGCGGGCCTTGTTACCAACTATATTCTGTCACTGATTTTGAAGTAATTTAGCTTCTCATATATCCATAAGCATCCCCCTAGGGCTCCGTATCCTAATCATAAGTGTCGCTTCTTAGATTGACACAGTAAATCTCCGAGAGATTGTGTTCCAGATTGCGACTCATCTTACGAAAGCAGTGTAATGGTTCTCCGGTCTCCCAGTGTAGGTGTGTTTACTTGGCTGTTCTCACATTTGGGTACTGAGCTTTGCAACCCGATACTATTGTTTCCAAAGTATGTCACAACATTCTCAATCCTTACTATTGAAGTTACTTAATAGAGTTGGTGTGGATCTCTCCGACTAACGGATGTCTCGAATGGTGGTTGTAATGTCCCTAGTGCGATTTCTGCACGTTCCACCTTTATGTCTCACTACATCAGTCTAACTGCAGGTTTTTATTCTGCATCACTCGCTAACTTGACAGTTTCCTGGGTTTGCATGCTTGTATCAGTATTCACTCTAATGTAGTTTCCCAGTTGCGTCCCCATAACTTCATAGACTGCGGTAAATGTTGGTGGTATGTTAGGAACTTTTCGAATTGACGCTACCGTTTGTGGCACAGTGAATGTTGCTTGTTAAAGCGATTCACCCGTGATCCACCGCATTTTGCCATCTTGTTCCCTGCGACTTTTCCCTAGCACCTGTCACACGACCCGCGAATGAAGTGCGCTCCCATAGATCCAGACCCAAAAAAGCATCTGGCAGGCTGCTCCTTCCGAATGACCACTTTGAACGATTCGTCGGTTCATCCGATACGCCATGCTCTACACCACTTGAAGGTTAGTTCTAAGTACCGTGAAGCTTTGTGTACACATACATGTGTCATCTCGTTACTTTCGTAGAGTGATGCTCCAATAGTTTCGTAATGTAACAAACTCTCAAGGACTGCACATGTTTCACATAATTATAGCGAAGAAACGACATTTTCCACACACTCGTACATTATATTAATTACCCTAGATGAATTCAAAGATGTTTGTAAGCTTTTGATAGAAGAACCGAAGTTTGGCCGTAATGCGCATGGGACCGACACCCCCCGGTACGGATCAAGGGGATGCGTCTCCTGACTCATCTTTTGGCTCTGCCTCCTTTCAGAACATTTTCCACTTTCCTGTGTAATATCGATGGCTTAGTATCCACTCCGTTCGATATTTTACCCAGTGGCACACACTCCGTGTGAACTTCAGTATGATAGCATTCAGCAGATCCATGCAATGGCGGGGCCTGGATCATGTTGATAATGTGTCAAATTGTATCTTTGGTGTCTTCCAGATCGTAGGTATTCGTGGTCATACATTGTCAGCTTCGGAAGGCTATCGAAGCTGAATCTGTAACGTGAATTGCTGAGACTCTGAAGGCGCAAGAACCGAGTCCACAGGCTCAAGAATGCTGACTCCAGCATGACTCGTATCCCGCAATTATCCGGGACGATTGTGCCTTGTTATCCTGTTGTCTTCACTGTACAGTCAAATGGGTTGATGGTATTTCGCATACAACAGATGTAAAGGTCAAAGACATTCGTACGAAAGTCGAGAACGATGCAATAGGTTTACTGAAGTAGAGAGTCCTCGGTCCGTTCCCCGGGACGGCGATTGTTTGTTCCCAAGTGTGTACGCCTCACAGGACAGTGTACCGTTGACATCTCGGTTTACGGTGATTATATAATTCCGCATATATCCTTCACCCAGGATGGACTCTTCTTGATCGCTCTTGCGCTTAGTTGGAGATATTGCAAGCAATGGTGGCTGATTGATTGCCGTTCGTGCTTTCAATATTTTTTCAGATGGTCTGATTGAGCACTTGGAGGTGTAGGCCTTCTCTTCACTTTAAGGCTTCAAATGTAATTAGATAAACTTTTTGATTGTACGGTAGTGAAGATTCAGTGTCAACACTGATGTTGCATTCTTTGGTAGTGATTATGGCAGGTTGGTTCTGGTATACCTGCTTCACATCAGGTTCCGGTGCCTGTTCGATGACCAGGGGAGGTGTACGCATCTTGCACGTCCCCGAAAAGTGCAGTGAGTGGCAGCAACGAACAAGCGCGTGATCCGAACCCAAATAGGTGTTCCAAAATGAGCGACAATAAGTGGTTGGCCCACACCACCTATAGCTAATAGTGAGATGGTCTATCTGTATTGGGGCGTGGCTCAAGCGCGGAGGACACCATGTGACCAGGCGGCTTCGGTTTTGTTGGGAGTTAGTAATGAACAGGGAGATCCCGGGGTCAGTACATAACTGGGGCAGGCGTTCGCCGTTGTGATTCCGGTCCAAGAGGCTCACCCAGATGAGCCTCAGCACCGCTAAGTCTTAACCCGCCGCAACATGGCGCTCAAAGCGTCATAAAAGCTGCCTTTGGGTATATCAGAGCTGCAGTCTGTTGGGGGTAAAGCAAATAAAATGAACAGACCAATCATCGGCTCGTTTACTGGATACTCTCAGACTTTGCCAAACAAACTGCACAGAGTCTACTATCAACGAGCAACCATCCAACCAGAGACATTTAACTCGCTGGTCTAGAACAATGGTGCCTCTGATGATGATGATTTTCACTCAATTTGGTGTTCACCCGCCATCTAAGACCAGCGGTAAAACCAGTAGTATGGGCTATCGAACAGCCCTCACCATCCTTGTAGATAGTGTCGTACCAAGAAACAACACCTTTTATTGTAAGCAATTCGGTCATCTTCTCAACATGTTTATGAAGGTTTCGGTAGGTGTTTATGATAATCCTCTCCATGTGTGCATGTGTTACCTCCGCATCGCACTCATTCCGCATTCCCACTCGAAAAAAGACAACGCTCAGCCGGTTTCCTTAGATGGTCTCCCAAGAGGGAGATGTCTGCATTGATGTGACCAGTTCTGTAAACTTGCCTGTCAATCAAATATTCACTGAACGCTTGTCGGTTATCATTCATCATACTCCAGCATTAGAAATGTCGTGTGTGTGCGAAGCCGGTCGAGTGCAAGTAACCGTCTTCAATCTGTGCAACGTTTACTAATAGAACGGATCGCACCTAATCATTGTGCACTCTCACCTTCACGCCGACACAACCAGGTTAAGTTGGAGAGACAGATCGAATGTAGCTATCGGTTTGTCGGTGCTGCTTTCAACAGAAGTGATGAGATCACCCATATAGTTGGTTCCAATCGCTTGGCTGCAGTGACAATATTTGGTGATGTATCCGTTCAATCCCTAGGTGTAACTTCATAAGGCGAATCGCAGAATCAGTAACGAATTGAGCTGAATTATTCAGCGTATTCTGTATTTCGACGAAGTCCGAACCATTAATTGGAACTCTATGACAGTAGACAGTTGAAAAGGGGCCTCCATAACTATTTGCGGCACATGGTTTAGAAGGCTGCAAGAATACATATCTGTTGAATCCCAGTTTTAGTAGTCGAATTAGGCTAAACTTTCCCGGGGCTTCAACACGTTTGTGATTGTTAGAGTAAATTGAGGGAACTGAAAAGATTTTGGGACTGGTTTCACTGGTTACCGAGCAACATAAACCAGAGTCCGACTGAGTCGCATGGTGCTTTCAAATCAAAGAGGACGGATATCTTTTTTTCGTCCGCATGATGGTGTTGAGGGATAGAGACAAAGTCCACGGCTTGGACGGAAACCTGATTTTCACGGCTTTGTCCTCGGGTTTTGCGGAGTGTTTGCAGGGTGGCACGTGCTGGAACCTCTAAGGACAATCAAACTAATACATCCGTTTTTTCTGCGCCGCTTTTGCTTTTACAAGCGCGAGCATAGTCCGTTCGGAACGGGTTCAGCGACAACTTTCAACTCCTGTTCTCTTTAAGTCATACCACCGACACATCCATTGATCCGGTCGTCCAAAATTGAACGTCGCTTTATCACTATGTTGCCCCTTACCGAACACAACTCACTAGGAATCAAGTTATGAATTCATAAGACACAACAGTCCTTCAGTTCTGGCGAGGTATATTTCCGTCTTCCTCGGTTCCTTTTGGTGATCCACAATGCTTCCCCATAGTCCATCTTGACATCCACCCTGATGGGAATACCTTTTCACTGAATGTTAGAATACGGTCATTTTCGTGCTTCTTTAGGCGTGATTCATTCAGGAAAACGCGAACTATGTGCAGATGATAACTGCTCAGATTTCAAATTGTTTGTACGTGGTCGATTCTTCCGGTGTATTCGATGTTCAATCGCCCACTAAAACGTCGATAAACATCGCGCAAAAACTACCTGTTGGAGCTCTTGAGAACAAATGTCACCTGTATTACATCTTGACAAATTTTTGTAAAAACGATGGCTCAAACCAGTCTTCTGCTTAAAACTGGCTCTCCGTTTGATAAATAAATAGGTTTAGCGCATAATTCAATACGCAAATTTTTATAGCACTTCTCTGGTGGTATGTATGTGAAACGTGTTGATTCGAGAGCGCTTTTATAGTTTTCAAAGTAGTACCGTACTTCATAAACGGGTTGAAAAATGAATCCATTATTTCGACCACCCGTTCTTTGTGTTTCTAGTGCACCGGTCCACCACTAGAGAAGTGATCAAGCTATCCACTCCGCCACCAGATCAGAAGCGGGTGCCCTTTACCCTGGAGGAATCTCTTGCACTGTGGCAAGGCTTTCTTGAACATCGGGACGCAGTGGATTGTTGGGTACGTGTATGGAGACAGTCTTTCCGACGAAGTGGGCGCAGGCCAGTGGACCTCAAAGACCGCTGGCGTGTGATCCAACGCAGCGCGACACTTAACCGAACAATTGCTGAGGCGTATGAACGATGGAAGTCTGAGAAGGAGTGCAACAACAGGGTCCCTACTTTGATTATTGTACGTTCATCCTGAACTACCGTCCCTCAAATTGGCTTATGACTGTACATATTCAGAACGTTTTTGTTTATTTCTAAGTGAATTTTTTATATACCATTTTCTACCTGTTTCCGAGTGTCTCTGAATATCTTACAAGTGGATGGTATACCAACTTTCATTGTCCTTCATAGTTTCGTTCCCAACAGTAACGCTCAGGTTCGATAGCACATGGTGGCATGGGTCCGACCAATCCCTGCCTCTAAGATGAACAAACATTAGGCGGATCATTTGTTCACGTACCCAGTGGTGAACTGTTACTCAGCATGTGGAATATTACGTTTATGAGATACGGCGTGTATGTGTAGCCCGTATGTCTCGTTTAAACGTGGTCACGCGTACCGTGTTCAGCCAGGTAACTGACTAAAGAATCTCTGTGACTTACAAACACCTGAACGACGAGTGGATCAGTAACGGTGGGTGGTATTGACGCTACTCGCCAGATAGCCGTGTTTGAAGCCTTTTAGCTACAATTCTATTGTCCATTTAGTAACCGCGATCATTGAGACATGCATTCCAGAAGTCCATGTGACTCCGCAAAACAATGTGATATTTACTGGCTGACAACGTTCAAACTCAGCGTCCAACTACTCAACATTTGTGGGAGCGCGTTCCACAAAAAATTGCTGTATGTGAGGAACTGCGACATTTTAAGATGAGAGTTCTACATAAAATCATGAAATCCAATTGGTCCAAATAAAGTTTGACTATGTATGGGGATTTTTGACTTGTTAAGGCGCGTAGATTTCCTGACAGAATCGAAAGGGATAGCATGGAAATACCAATATGAAAATTATATCTTACAGTTTGTACGCAATGCGACGTTCTTCCGAACCACTGACCATAAGGTTTCCCAATGTTCCTGAAGACGTGCATCCAAGATTCTCCAGCGTAAGTAGTCCGTTCCGAAGGGCTGCGCGCCCGATACGTTTCCACATCAACATCATCAACTGTAAAAACCAAATGTTTATCGTGGTGGTTCCAGCTGCCACAGTTTCGGTCACCGGAGATTTGTGGAAGTGGGGTAAAGTGCTGCGCATTGGAGGCGGTAGCTGATATAATTGTTGCGTCAATACAGGGGTTTCAGTGAAGTTTTCATTGGGGATGATGGAAGGGCGACAGCTTGCATGCAGGAGCGTCACTGAGAGCCCGACTGGACAATGTCTGACAATGTCTGTCTCTGTTCGAAAAAGTCCCAACGGACAGGAGCCGACGACCGAGGTGGCCACCTCAGCCAATCTGGTACAGAATTCCTCTGCTCAAACCTGGACATTTCGGAAATAGTGCGTGGTTGCGTCGCTTGTTACCAATATAATTGATTGAAGCTACTGGCTACATGAATATGCTGTCTCTCAACAGTGACTCGTAGGATGACGTTTGGAGGAGCTGGAATTTGTCTAATGAACATGACTGCCTTGGGACCTTTAACGACCTGCTGGTGTATTTTCTAATAGTACTCTAAATTTTTGTATACGGACTTCTGATTGGATACTCCTTCTGTCTGTAAAAGACAATTGGTTGGGACTCGGATTTCTTCATAGACAGCAATATTCAAACGTGGACTTGGCTACGCATTTCCTGCTTTCAGTCTGGATGCTTCAGTGTGATCATCAATTGACAGGATTTAGCGTTTCTGGAAACAGTCTTTCATTATTCTTAAGCTGAACCCCAATATGTCACTAGTGTTACGTTTTTAATTATGTTTGGCCTCCAGGTATGAAGCTTCGCCTAAAAGTACAACAACCAAAAATATCCAAGCTGACATTGAATTGAAATTGACCTAAGTTCGGCGGGAATTCTCCTCGTCTGTCTTCTTTATAAGATCAGGTCAGTGAGTGGATTGTCCGTATCAAAGACAATTCAAACTCCAGTTTACCTCTGACCTGTCCTGAGTTTGTGACCGACGACCCACATCGAAAGGAATATTGTTCACTAATCATATTATCGCTCCTGTCCTGGTCAGTGTTCGGTCATCCGCTGAGGTTAGCTTGAGTACGAAAGATGAACGCCATCGATAAACCTAAGTGTTTCAGTTAGGCCTCTGCATATTCTTCCCACCAAGTAGGGACAGACCCAGTAGTTTGCCGCGACTTCCACCATATTCGGTCTCATCCTAAAACACGACTTCTCTGATAGAAACGAACAAATGTGATGACGCTCGAAAAGCACAGGTTTTATCATAGAATAAGACGAGGATGACCTATCGATCACTCGACATTTCACGCATTTTTGGCCATTTTATGGGTCTGCTGGTACCACGAAGGCGCGCAGCTTTTGATGATAGCCTCACTATTGCTAGATTCTCCGAAACTTGCCCTATTCATTGTTCCCTTAAGTCAGTAATTTGTCAAAATTTGTTCGACAAGTTCGAGTATTCAATATTTACAATGAGGATTGCTGATTACCCTTTGAAGGTAGTCTCAAATGTTCCACCAGAAAATGAGCAACTGGAAGTTTTCCAACACATGTCTAGATTCATTACTGGGGTATGGCTCTACTCGACCAATAGTTTCCCCGAATTCGCAACTGGTTCATACTGCTTGCCCAAGTTTGTGGTTTTAAGGACGAGTTTCCTGCTTGCCCATTCCGTAGGGACGACCAGCAGTTCTCTGTCGCGTCCCAGCAGCAAATGCAGGCCTCAGATCCATCGATCGTTTGTCTGGCGGACTTGGATCGGCTTCGTCAACTACGTTCGTACTCACCGCTACGTCGGCATTCCGTTTGTTCCAGCTTGGGCGGCTTGTCTGTGTCGCACCTCGGGGCGATCGGATGCACGGTGCTGTCTTGACCTCTTGAGTCGATGGCACCGAGGGACAGGAGAACTGAACTATTGGTTTGAGTCTATCTGTCATCTACTGAAGCTTTAGAGGGCAATATCGACGGCGTCAATGGAGCTCCGTGCATCCATGCGAAAATGCAGTGTCCGGATTGGACGTCCAGAACACTAAGCGGAAGGTCCAAATGTTNGCTGGGGTGGCTTGCCTGGGTCGCCCCTCGGGGCGATCGGATGCACGGTGCTGTCTTGACCTCTTGAGTCGATGGCACCGAGGGACAGGAGAACTGAACTATTGGTTTGAGTCTATCTGTCATCTACTGAAGCTTTAGAGGGCAATATCGACGGCGTCAATGGAGCTCCGTGCATCCATGCGAAAATGCAGTGTCCGGATTGGACGTCCAGAACACTAAGCGGAAGGTCCAAATGTTTAGGGTGCAACGCAGTTACACCAAGGTATACCACGAATAATGCACCGGACGATACATATGGAACACCAAACCTCGAAGAGCCAATGTGCCTGTCAACAAAATCGGCGCATATCGATAACCGTTGGTTGAGTAAAGTGTTTGTAGACTTATTCAATACAAAAATGTGGTGCGTTCGATCTCTGCGCGATTATAAACCCCTTCGTTAAGTCTCTGACCAAGTATAGTCACTGGTTTCCGGGCCCCAACTGTGGAATATATAAGCCCTGCCAGATGACACTAAGACTGTGACGGCCATCATGTTTTGGCACAAATCATTGTTGAGCCAACTTGACGTTTGATCTATTCCACAACCGGAGTAGCAAAGATTGCGCCGTGAAAACCTAGTTGCCATCCTCAATACATGTTTTAACCAGTAGAATCGATGTTAGCCTATGACGTGCGCCACCTCTCTGTCATTACGATGCATTCCCGTGATCAAATTTAATCGAAGCGACCAGTAATTTGTTGGGACAGGATTTTTTACGACCTTGATGAATTTCACTCGTCCTTGCACGGTAATCTATTATTTTTCACCTGAATATCATTTTTTGTCTCGTTTGTATTGGTTTGATCAACAGAAGCAGATTAGGTGGACTCAGCAGACTAAGCAGCCAGAATAGGAGCCAGGTGCCAGTTGGTTTGAGACCTAAAATGTTCTGGCAAAACCTCAGAATCATAATCAAGTCGGACGATATTCGAAGAGTGGCAACGAGGTTAGCGGTTGGACATCAGGTACTTTCATCCAGGACGCAGTCAACGGAACGTTAAATTGACTGTCATGTCTTACGCTGGATGGTGGCTGACAATCGTGCACAGTAGTGTTTCTGCTGTCTGCCTACAGGCTACTCACTTGAAGTCTGGAGATGCACAAGCTTCGAAGCGTCTGGTTTGGGCTAGCGGTAGGCCTCTCCCCCTCCATGGTATTGCTCTTTTCGCCCCAGATTTCTCAAATAATAGTGAAAGGTGATATGTCTGTATGGTGGTGTTCAGCACCATCAGCAGTGTCAATGACTGGCTTGCGTAGCTTTTTTGGCTCTGGTTTCACTCTAGACAAACCTTCAGGTAAGGAACACTTTGAGGAAGGAAACAGCCTGGATTCTTATGGCCCTCGTTCACGCAATACATTGGCGTTTCCGGTACGACGGCGATGAGGTGAGTTGAACTTGGTCTACAACAAAGAGCATTTTCGATTCTGCAGGCTCCGGGGCCTTTCGTATTCAAGCAAGTCTCTACACTAATCAGCGACTTATCTGATAGGTCCTCCTGGTTTTTGTATTCGCCTGCTAGTTTTACCTGAGTACAAGGGAGTCCATAAGCACCAAAACATCTATTGCCCATTTACCCCACGGTTTCGTTTCGTTATGGCTATCGGTGTGCATGAACTTGTTTCGTTGGAGGAATGAAAATGTATTGATTATCTAATGTGTTAAACATGATCAAATAACGATCTCGAAATTCCAAGGAATAGTTACGTCGTTCCGAATGCAAAATGAAATTAGAGCTAAAAAACGCTCTCAGCTGTATTCAAACTATGCCCAGAAGTCTCCTTCGGAATGCCTGCTCAAAAACGTTCAAAAAACCGTAGACCGGAGGCAGATATGTGGACTCTGTTCAGTAGTTTGATTCTGGTAACCGGCGCAACAATACTTCAGCAGCCGTGGATCTCATCAATCGCATAACTGTTCCGGGGTCGTCGCTGCTGGTGATCTCTGTGCCTGATACAATCATGTTCGCTCCGGCCTGTCAGCGGGAAAAAAGGCAGAACACAGTAAGGTGTGAACAACATTGGATAGACAACTAAAAAGCCATATGGCTGAATTTTCCCTATCCAACCCTCCCGAAATTCAGCAGTAAGTAAACATATACTTCTGATTACAAGAGACGCCGACAGTTAGTCTGCTCCTGGCGGAGTCCCATCATGGAGATAAAAAAATTAGAGTGAGAATATCGTCTCCTCAGCCTATTAGCCCGGCGTTACTCAATCACATTAAATGATTCATAGAACACCTGACCTAGTAATAGTCTACAAAGGCTCTTTAGAAGCGCCTGTAACTTCAAACACACTTAGGGAATTCACGGAGAAGCTTACAGCAGTAGTATTTAGCGAGGCTCATAGGGACCCCAGCCTTCAATGTGCGTTGCGGGCAGTAGGCCAACTCTTGTAATGACCTTTAATCCCTTCCGTTATTTCTTTAATTTCCTGTCCTCTGAGATGGACGGAGAACGACACTGGTTGCGCTAGGTGCAACATGTGACCCAAGTCCACAGAGCCACCCGTTTTTACTTTACAATGTCACTTGTAAAGGTTGCCAGTTAATTATCAGATCGTACAAAAGAATAACAAGAAGCTATGAATAATGATGGGGTATTCAGCAGTTTTCATATTCCTCGCGAATTTGGTGCACGAAAACCAGTGGATATACTTCCATCTAACGCACGACCAAACATCTACTTTGGCTAGAATATACCAAAAGGAAGGTACTGTTCAAATCTGCTAGACGATATACTGAGGAACTCCGAGAAAGTCACTGTACCCCATGCATTGCGCGCTGTAGCTCGAATAAACTCAAATTATGGTAGCGGATTCGTAGCCGACTGAGGAAGAAAGCAATTGTCGGATCCACTAACCTATGCGGGAGAGACACTCCAGTGTGCGCCATAGACGCCAAATGGACGAATTGGCGCTCCTTTACCATCGATGACTTGCACTATTGATGAACAGCTAAACACCAGTTAACTAGCGGCTAGAGCGTGTAGACCGACGGGTCTGCACTCCCCAGGCGTGTATTCACAGAAACTACCTGAGGACTAGCTTGGCTTACTCGTTGAGTCAAGCGGGTCTGATTGGCTAACGCGTCAAATGAAGATGTTCAATTTCGTACGCAGCAACCCGAACTCGAAACAGAAAGCGGTCTGTGACGAATTCGGGCTCAAATTGGCCACGGCAGAAGCAGTACACCACATATTTTCAGCACTCAGCAAACGGCTATAAGGCCATATACCCTGAAGTCAGCCAAGCTTTAGTTCAAACCGGAAATAAATGTGAATTTGCGTAATGAACGGAAAACTATTACTCAGTTCAGATGCGCTTTTTTCTGCTGCCTGCCCCTGTCTGAGTTTGGGCAACCTGGCAATGTCTCAGCCTTCGTGCCTTCTTCAGATGGCGCAGCGGCCGGACACCGGAAGGGTGTTACGGCTGAACAATTATAATACTGTGTGTGGCTATTAATGGGTAGGTTTTCTGTAGCAGAGCAAAGGATCTCACACAACTTCCACCAAAAACACCGTGATATTTGTGGCATCAAACCACTGTGACTAACTTTCACTAGATGCAGGGGTGAGCGGAATAAGCAGACTCCAACGTGAACCGACGAAACAATTTGAAAAAACGCACTTACCTCGGCACAGTCGCGGATTGTTTTCTGTGTAACTCCACCGTCTACTGCGATATCCAAATGAGCATATTGATCACGAAGAAACTTAACCTGTTGTGGACAGACGAGGATGAGAGTAAAGAATTACAGGTCCCGAAAGAATTCAGTGAGAACACAAACCACGGCCAAACATAATGGACGTCTGGGGTCAAAATGCGAAGCCCTCACGGGGAACTAACCGGGTTTGCGGGCAACCGGTTGAGAAGGCGCGAGCTATGAAACCCTTCCACCATCAACAATCTAATTGCTACCACAATGTGAGAGGTTCGACGTATAGGTAAATTTGACACAGTCGTTAAAGGTAAATTAACATCTGTCAGCTAGGAACGGCACAACATATCCGGCCACACTTTCCGAATTTTGGTGGAATCAGATTTCTTGTGTGTACCACTGCTTCCCGATCTGTCAGTGGTACCGCACCGACTGAGAATCTCAACCCCTCGAATACCTCCACCCTTCAGTCATCTCTGCTACAGCGACCATAATCAGCGTTGGCAACGTCTGCCCATCCCAAGTCGTTTTTACCTCTACAGGCATCTGTTTAAAACCGCTGCTACTCTCAAGCTGTTTTCTTCATGCTTTGAATGAAATTTCCAACACTCGTCTCCTAGAGTTACCCAGTAACGCATTCATCATCCTGCACTTTCCGGTTTTAGCCACAAAGACGAACGTGCGTCACCTGAGTAATATGGTTTTGGGGAGTTTTATCCTGCAATGTATCGTTAGGGAAAAACGTTTACGCCGCAGAAACCCTCCCCGTGGGGACAGCATTGCTCAGAATGCTTCTAGTGAGATGAACTGTGTCTTACTTTCAAGTTCAAGTTAAAAAAGAAGTGACCAGAAACCGTAGGGTCAACCTATTATAACATTGTTTTTCTCCAAGAAATACACACCCGAATGAAAGTTCACCTCCTAAACTCCTTAGCCACATGGTCACAAAGTTTATACGCATTTTGTTTGATCTATCATGGATAACCTTGGCAAGTGTGAACCCGGGAAAACGAAGACAGCAACAACTGACAAGTACCACTATCACGGCACGATAAGTCTTTTCTCAGGAATACGTCAGCATGATTCTACACGTTCTCTTGAGTTCTATTAATAACGTGTGATGTACAAACAAGAATGAATGGTTAGGGGAAAACAACTCAGCATACGCACTTTGGGTAGCATATCTGCCATGAACTTCTGACCACCGAATCCTGGTTCAACGGTCATGATGAGCACCATGTCCACCGAGTCCACATACGGAAGAATCTCGATGACCGGCGTTTTCGGTTTGATGCCAAGACCAACCTACATAACAAAAAAATAGAATGGGGATGCGCGCAGTGCAACCAACACAACAGTAGTAGCTCGAGAAGCGAAACAGCGATATGAAAGATCTTCCGGTCCGAAAGTTTTGGTCTGTAAGGAGGTAATTTAGTCTATCATTCCATTTTCCACAAACGGATTTCGAGTGGGTTCCCTCTACATTCGTTACCGCTATGAAAATTCGCTTCATCTGAGGTCCTGTCGACAGAGTTTTTTATGAATCGTAATTTTACCTCACTGTATTTTGTGTGATTTCATTAACATACCGATCCAGTCACTTGTCACCTGAATAACTACAATGTTGCTTTGACACACACGATTATAATCGAGTGTAGTCCCTTCACAAGGAGAATTTTTTTGGGGTACTGTAAAGAAATCGTTCAGCTGTAGCACCCTTTCGGTGCTTAGTTGTTAGGCCGGTACTACCAGGGTACTTAAGCCTAGACAGAGGAAGTCGAAAGCAGAGATCGGGTTCGAACCACGGACATTCCGGTCAGTAAATCCGCGCTCTAACCACTGAGCCATCTCGTGGCACTGGGCTAAAGATTGATGGGTTACAACTACTTCATTACTGGTAGCAGTACATTCATCAGAAAACGCGCGAACGTTCAGATCGAAATTATAAAGAAAACGACCAACCATCAAACAAACGGAACGGTATTCACAGCCATCTCCTTACTTAAACCGTTCTGGTGAGATCTTACATCCGGATGGTATCCAGGACTCACATTTAGCCGATTTTAAAAAAAATCTGTGATAATTCCAACTGATATATTTATTCAATCCCCCGCCTTGTTTTTAGTGAAACATGAAACTTGTTTTTTGCTGCAATTTGTCGGATGACTGCGATCCCCAAATTTGGGGTTCACAAGGCCAGTGCCTGGAAGCAACCACAAGCATAACCGTGGATGAGTGGACGTCAATCCAAAATGGTGGTAGCAGTAGGTGGAAGCTCCTTTATTCAAACCCTCCTAACTGACTCTCAGCTCATGGTCGGTTCTAAAAAATCGTCAGCGCTACTTGAAGGCATCAACAGCTTCACTTACGTCACTCAAGCTGATTTGTGACAGCTGGTTTCATTTTCAGAAATAGCCAACGTCAAAACAGGTGGTGTTGAAAAGGATGTTGTTGGTAATTACCCGTGGATAGCAATCGCAGGCGTGGATTTAGAAGACTGTTTGTGAGCACACAACAGGAATGATAAATCTTTGGAATAGAACCACCGATTTCTCCACGCTCGGTCTTGATCAACAGCTGAAGCGGTTGGACTGACTGATTGGTACCCACATTAGGTGCCATAATCACCCCCACCTTACTCACTACAACGAACTGTAGAACACTCTTGATATAGCTTAGTGCTTAAGGCAAGGTTCGTGGTTCGGACCCAAACCTCGGAGCATCTCGACTGCTCCTGCTTCTGGACACAAACAAGGTGGTGAGCTAAAGCCTCTAAGATGGTTCGGCAGGGGTGCAGTGCTCATTCAGTCCTATCTCCAGTACCGTTTGGATCGTGGATGTTGTCTTTAGCAATCTTTACGCTGTCCCTTGAACTACTCCACGTTAGGATCAGGTGTCATGTTAGTAACGCCTTGATCGACATGTGGCTCAGGAGCCATTTAGGCCAGCACTTCGCAGGGTGTTGTCAGTTTGCAGTCCTGCGCCAATGAAGTCCACAGTTTCAGTTAAGTCGGCCGTCACGTCTCGGAGCGGTTTCCCTTGGAAGCAACCCTAACACGAGAGAATTTCGATACCTGGAAAATTCGTTCTCACCGAGAAGGGAGTCACGCTTGAGCTAATACATTTTTTTCGATTTTGCAAGTCCTGGTAACAATTGAAGCTAACCGGGGCTTCCCTAGGAAGTCAGGTTAGGTCTGATTAATTTAATACAATGCTACGCTAAATGTAAAAAGGTAGTAGTTTGCATGTTGCTGCTTTACACAAGTTCAGAGCACCTTACTAGAACGCCATATATAAACTTGGACCAGATTGCTGTCGGTTGAGCTGTCTTGGCTTCCTGAAGTCATTTCTTTACGGCTTTAGGCATGCCATTCTGTAGGCGGCCTGATCAACCTAAACTGAAGTAGACCTGTCGCCTGTGAAGTTCAATTTCGGTTCATACCTCTAATTGTTCATCAACAAGCACCGGAAAATATGCCTTCGGTGAAAACGGACTGGTCCTTATGTAGCGATAATGTGCACTGGGAGGGGTTTCAGGCCTTAGCAAGTTTTTCAACATGGAAAGCTCCTCCCAACCTGCACTGAAGAGGGAAAATTCCGCAACTCTCTGGACCTTACGTTTGAGAGCTTACTACTCGAATCAGTTAACACTGTCAACACAAGATCACGTGACGTAAAATGTGATTGAAAGATTGGCTATAACACTATACCCCGTCCAAACGCAGTTAGATCACGCTGCTGATCAGTCGGAATGGTGCAGTGTGCATATATTGGTCGGACTTCCTGAGTTCCGTGAGATATGCGCTGCCGACAATTCCAAAGGATGAGACACATGCAGTGATTCTCAACTTTGAGTATAAGTTGGTTTCACTAAAAGAGTGAAATCTAATTGTAAAAAGAGCCACCAAGGTGTACAGTTACAAGAAAACAGCATCATAACCTGGTACTTCAAACACAGACTGGTTGAAATCCATGGTGGAGCCTAAACAGCAGAAAGAATAAAAGAGTTGAGAAACAAAACACCAAAGCTGAACCTACTTTCATATCCGCCTCCTTAATCAGTCGAATACAACGGGCAACATTATTACTTGCTTCGTAATGGAATGTATATTGAGAAGCGCCGGCTGCCTTCATTCCAGCAATCCACTGAAACAAGAAAATGCGGCAAACGGATAGTGTACATTATCGACGGTTGTTCCTTTTATAAAAAACAACATCAATACGAGTGGTGGAATATCTTGTCTAAGAGCGAGTTAATCACACGACTTAGTCTTCCACTGCTAGCAGAGGTTGTGAATCACCCTGAATATTCGTACTCCTGAGTATTTCTAAAAAGGATGAAGCAGTGCCTTTCGGTACAGAATGACTTCACTTATAGTTAGAAATCTCAATTGGAAAATTCCTAAATTCTTTCATATTACCAGGAATACAGAATAGTTTGTGGCCACTCTCCAGGTCATAACAGAATGGAAGCGGCAAACAGCACTGATAAATAACAACAATAACGACAGTGTCGAAAATACCTTTTCCGGTTCGGCAACCATCATGTGCAAATCCAAAAATGTGGAATTCGGTAGATTACGTTTTAGCGAAGATACGACAGGATGCCCTATTGTTATATTCGGCACAAAATGACCATCCATCACATCCAAATGAAGATAGTCCGCACCAGCTGCGACCAAGTTTGTACAGACATCTGCTAATCGAGATAGGTCTGCGTTCAGAATGGACGGACCGATGAGCACTGGCTTAGAACAAGCATGATCGCCAGACCCCATATGGGCTGTAAAGGGATAAAAACGCTTTTGAAGATCAAACTCGGAAATCAGCATGACTAGGATGACAACAAAAACACAAGAAGTCTAGGGAGCAATTCGCATACTCGAAACATTCCAACTGGCTAGTCAGGGGTATATTCGATAAGGAAAAACACTTCCAAAGAGCCATTGAGTACATTGACGCACGTGGCGTAATAGCTGGCCTGAACGACTTACTAATGAGGGACCGTTTGGAGACATGTTCCACACTTCAACTCATTGCAATCGGAACACCTACTACCACCACCACCAACTACTCACTGTTCGTTAGAGTCAGAACCCATGGCAATGGTAGAAATTTCGGTGTCTACGTGCAACACTAACGTCGTCGATCACAGCTTGATTTAAATAAATAAGTAAACAAATCGTTCAGCTGTAGCACCCTTTCAGTGCCTAGCTGCCATGCCTCACGAAGGAAGCACGAGGGCTGGGATACTACCAGGTCGCCCAATCCTAGACAGGGGAAGTCGAGAGGCAGAGATCGGGTTCGAACCACGGACCTTCCGGTCAGTAAATTCGCGCTCCAACCACTTTGTCCATGTCACCCCCAGCTTGCCTTGGAGCATGTGGTACAATCCCATAGTAACAACCAAACGGCATACGAAGGACTGTGCGATGCAACACAAAGAGGCCCGTTACGAAATAAAATAGCGAAAAATTACGAGTAAGAACCATTTGTTGGTCCCGAATTGCGAGTGGAAAAGGAATTTTTATTTCTGATTTATCCACCACACCTAAAACAATATGAGAGCGGAATGTTTTGAAAAGCGATAGACAAGCGAACTGCGACAGCAGTTCGAAATAATGAGAACTCCGTAATTGCATTCAACGGTGTATTCGAAAATGCGTGTAAAATAAATGCAAGTCGGTACAAATCACCGGTCTCGTCAACAGGATAAAGCGACAACTGGTAATTGCAAACAGAATAAGCTAAAGTATAAAATAATCACACTTCATTGTTCGATTCGGATAGCGACTCAATCACAGATTGCACAGTTGGAATGTTTAGCTTATGGTCCAAACCATTTTCACATAAAATCGTTCGCGAAGGGAGTAAAACTCGCATTAAAAACCGGCGAACGAGTGTGCCTAAGGAGGGGACGAGGATGCGAGGAAATTCGCCCGGATTGTACAGAGCTAGAAAATGCAACCAATTTGCTTTTGGGCCAAAGTCATACGGATTGCGGTACAATAGTCCGCGTCTTCGAAGACGCTGTCGGAATCTCTCATTGATGTGATACTCGACATTGGTTTCTCCACGAGTGATTAGGTAGGACTGCCAAATGCACAAACCTATGACAAGGGGAACGGCAACCAGTGCCAACTGGAAGCAGACTGACGATAGTTTATGAAGAACAGTCATGATGGCCGACCTGCCGGAGTGTGTCCATGGACGCGGATCCTGTGAATAATTGATGAAAAACTCAGTTTAGCAGTGGATCAGAAAAACAAATAAGGCTCAAAGTGAAGTGAAATTAGGGAAAGTTCACCAATGAAGATGGATGAGTAAAATCTCCTGTTCTGGAGTAAAATTTTATGAAGGCCCGTGTAACGAACAAAAAACCTGATAACCCCGGTCAACTTTATTTTCCCTTGGTCGTTAGTTCCGTTCCGGAGTGACCATCTATCTGACGGGAACCAATTTTGGTGTGCCATTTAAAGCTTCTATCCAGTTCCAAGGCTCTGGACTGACACAACGCAGATGGACTTCGAATCACTGTTTTGGTGCCATTTTGGTAGGAATTAAAAAGTTGTGCTCTCCCTTCGCCCAAAGGCGCAACCTGATATTTGAGTTTCCCCAGAGTACCCAGTTCAGTAAATGCTTCCTGGGCAATGCTACCCATAACAATAGTAATGGTAATGATAATAATAATTCAGCCATGCGGTGCCTGGCTGTCATGATGGGTTAGGTACAATCAGGTTGCCCAAACCCAGACAAGAGCAATCGAAATGTTGGGGTGGGACTCGAACCACTGACCTTCCGGCCAGTAAGTTCAGGTCTTGACCACTTGGCAACCGATAGGATAGCCTTGTGTTTGTACGGGTTGTTTTGTTAGTTCACGCACACTGGGCGTATATGGACGGAAAGCAAGTTGCTAGCTGCATTCAGTATTTTATCCCTTACGATTTCATTCATATTTACTCAGTATCTTACGAGCCTCAACTTCGATGGGAATCAAGACCTCTTCATGTCTTTGGGTCGAGGTGGCCCTTTGGTAAATCGTGAAAATTACTCGCACGGATATTTCGCCGAAAAATCACAATTACCATGGTCAACCGTCCAGAAGTAAGGCTTACATATTGGTAGGGTACCTCTCAATAGGGACCAAACGTAGGAGCTGATCAAGGTGGTCCCTTCACAGAAACTCCTAGTCCCTCCCT